TAACTCTGGCAGGTCTGTAGGGATGGAGATGGTACTTGCTGGGACTGAAATGAGTTGGCTCTAACAAGTCATGCAAGGGAATTCAGAGGAGCACTTTCTTGCTATGCTACCTAACTTCAAACATGCATTTTATGTGTAACTCGCAGAATCCAAACATTCCTGTTGTGAGAGATTGGCAGGGTGCCTTCTTCATACATCTTGCATTAAATTTGTTTGTGAGGAGGCATTGCTTTGCCTGATGAAAAACCCAATTATTCACACACACCCATTCTTACCTCTGTAATTAAGACGTTGTTTTCTAAAGCACTTTGAAATCTAATTACAAACTACATTCTGTAAATTAATAAATGGATGTAAATGTATGATCTACAAATCGTATTTGCACAATGATAAGGATTTCTTTCCAACCGTTTGATAAATCGCCAGTTTTGATTTGCTTAATCTGAAGAATCATATAAGCTTAGCAAGTTGTAGTTTTGTGTTGGATTTTTAAATAATTTCATGTAATTGGGTCTTTGTTAACTGAATAATCATACACGTTTTCAGTGATGTATTAGTCATAGCTATGCATATGTGTGGTGCTTGGCTTCTGACCTTGAACAACACAGTCTAAAACTACCCAGAGCATCTGTGGGTTGAGGGGTAGGTTTGTTTGTTTTTGTTGGGTGGTTTACCTTAATCCTCTTTGCAGAGGAGCATTCAATTTTGCTATGGCATTGATGCCTGCTTTGCATTATATAAAAACATATACAGTAAATTTCAACTGATTTGAGAAACATTCAAATAACTGGCTGCAAATTGGGTAGCAGTTAAACACAGAAAATTCCCAATGAAAGCAATAGAACCTGTATGCAGGTAATGTTGCACAGGGCTTTGCCCATCAGAGATTGTTTTTGTTTTTGTTTTTAACTCTTACTTTACATTTTTACCCACCCTGAAACCTCCCACACAGATATCCGTAAAAGTAAGACAGGCTTAAAATTATTCTAGCTAGCCTGAAACAAGTGTGAGAAGAGCCAGGTGTGCCTTCCTCAGAAGGTACATTCCACAAGTTCAATGCCATGGCTGAAACGTACACTTCCGATACTTAATATTAAAACAAATATTTATATCACTATTTACTTAACAAGAAAAAATAATTTGAGGATGCACAAAGAATATTATAGAACATTGGTTAACACTATATTGAATCTAAAAAATAGACATTATTCCAAGTTATTTACAAAGTTATTGTTTATCTTCCAATTGTTTCCAGACAGTATCAATGCCATTTTCATTAGCCGTGTCACATTCTATAATTTCTTTATGCTTTTAATTTCTTCTTTATTTTCTTTATTCCATTTTTGTTTGAACATCTGGCATTTTCCATATTGATGCAATTTATATTTTTCCTAGTTTTAATATGTGTATTACCAGTTCAGCATCTTCAGTTACTAGTCCCATTATATAACTTATTAAAAAGGCCAAGTGTTCAAATGGAAATGATATCCATAGTTTCTTTTAGTAATTCTATACAGTTCTATGATATAACCATCAAAATAATTGTTGGACATGATTATCAAATGTTGGTGCTAAGATGCTACTATTTGATCACATGAATGTCATTCCGTATTAAAGTATTTCTCCATAAGCAATCTTCTTCCTACCATTGTAAGTCTAAACCATTGCATCCAAATAGCAGTGGTAGCTTTAAATGCATTCAATACGAACTTCCTCTTTGCTGGACTAATGCTATGGTGAACTTTATTACACATTAAAAACTTTGCTCAAAGATTTGCTATGGATAACTACTACTTCTACCTTGATGAGCTGGAAAACTAATAGAGTCTGCCTTTGTCTAGGAATAGGGGCAGCCAATGTGGTACCTTTCAGATGTTGTTGAAATCCAACTCCTATGAGCTCTAGCCAGCATGGTCAGTGGTCTGGGATAATGGGAGCTGTAGTCAGGCAACATCTGGAGTATACCACAATGGCTACCACTAGTCTAGTTCTGCCTGACTATTTAAAATGGAGTGCATGTGGTTTTTGTTATTCTGTTGAACTTTATTATAGGGCATAGTAAAAGATCTGAATGCACTGGCTACACTGATATCTTTGGCTCCAAATTAACATGTCACAGCATGGTCTTTCATTTTTAATAGGGTTTCAAATGGAAACATGCTTAATGGATAAAGCTATCCAAGAATGAATGTTTATATTGAGTTAACACCCAGTGCTTGTACTAGGATAACAACCAAATGGACAAAGAATGTAATGGCCAACAGGCTTGGAGGAAAAGAGTCATGAACAAATGTAGGCATATAGAAGTGAGCAGCAACCAATATTTATTTACTCACTCAGCTGTGGATCATATAGAAGCCTATTTTGGCATATTGATATATAAATTAAATCATCATTATCTTTGTGGCAGCATCTCCTCACACACCTTTCTCCACACTTTTCTACTATTGGGTGGGCCTTCTGTTTGCATCACTGCAGTACAACTAATATGGAAATTCCATAGGTCAAGCACAGCATGGTATAAAAAAACCCCTTTAAATAAGCTCCCAATTTTTTATTCATTTAGCTTGCTTTTAACATATATTTCCTATTGAGCTAGTTTTTATAATCTCCCCCCTGTCTTCCCATTTTAAAAAAAATATTTATTTTGTTTATAGCTAAATTGTTGGCTTTTGATAGCTAGCTGTAATGGTTGTATCACTGGGGTGTGGGGAGGCAGGATTGAGGAATAAAACCTCTCATCTTCTCACCTCCATTTTTTCACTGAACACGTCAGGTCAGATTTTCTCTGCCACTCTATCTTTGTTTATAGTGTTTTTCGGATTGATCAAGTGCTAAAATAGGTTTAGCTTTTGGAGGACCAATATCTATGCTCACATTTGTGAACTTTCATATTTCCTAAGTAGGTCCAAATAAGCAGGTAGAAAGAACAGTGTCAAGTGGCTGGAGATTGTAACAATTTAAGAGTATGCAAAGTTGATAGGCAGTTTACATGCAAGGGGTGAAGGACATGGTGTTTAACTGTCAAATGAAAGGCTAAACTGAAGCAAATTTATTTATTTGCATATGTCGTTTGCCTTGTAACACAAGCTCTCTTGGTGACAAAGGGCTTTTATTAAGTGTACTAGCAAAATACTACTATGACAATCAGGGTATGTGTGGAAGGCCTGCATAAGGCCCCCAGGGGCCACAGGCCACCCAGTGTCAGGAGTGGGTTGGTTTAACCCCATAGCTGCATAGCCCCAAGTGCAGTGGTCCCCCCCCCATACGAGCGTTTTAAAAGCGTTCACTCAGGGCCATCATTACGATGGAAGGAAAACAAGTAACTTGCTCTGGTGTATGAGATTCCCCACACTGCCATGACACAAAACTACCCTGTTCATTGCCAATTTTCATTCATTGCTCACAGCCCGTTTTTGTTACCTCTAAACTACTATTCCTATTTTGTTCACTTTTTGCTTTTTGGGGGTTTGGTGATACCTTGTTAATATCTTGTTACTGTAGCTTTTTGCAGCTGTCATTTTGCAAGGTTCAGCTTCCTTCCCTGGATCTCTAGAACTTAAACATTGTAAGGATGGTGCTGGATGCATTTTCGCCTCTAGAGCACATGCACATGAGCACTAAGGCACAATGCAGTGCATGGTCTGCCATTTCACGCGTTCAGCTGTTCAGTTAGATTTTGAATGGCAATCCCAGTTGCAGTGCCTCCCCAGCACCATGGAGTAATACTATGGTGAAGTGTGACAGTACAAACTCAGGAAAATAATGATCTGGATTAAAAATGGCCACAACTTTACGGATTAAAGATGTAGGTGAAATCAGTAGGGCTGGAACTGCTTCAGGCCCATGCCAAGGATTGTGGCGTCCCCAAGACGTTGATCTATTGAGTTAGCCGCCCTAAAGCCACCGCTGGAAGCCCTATGGTTCATCTGCCCCACACTTGACTTCTGGACAGGGACATCCACCGAGACCTCTCTAACGGGGCACCCAGAATACACCAGAAATTTAAAGTCACTGCCCTCCAGGAGGGGCCACGGATTGGTTCATTTGAAATTACCTTTTGGGGCAGGAAGACCACCCACCAAGATCCCTCCGACCAAGGGGAATTCCCTTCCAACAGCCAGCAAACGTGTGCCCAGGCCGGTGGGGAAGCAAGCTGAGAGTGAGGGGCCGCAATTGTCACCCACTGGGAAACCGGTGAGCGGTCATTGGAATAGCATTAACCATACATTTTTTTGTTTTTCTTCACTGACTTTTTTGTTAGCAATTATTTTTATTGTTTTAGATTTAACAATCACTAAGCTGGTAGTGCTCAAAATATTAAACAACATGTGCCATTTCTCTCCTTCCCACCACTTACCCCAGCCACCCCCAGTCTTGATGTCCCTCCTACCACCTAATCTCCCATGTGCCTCCTCCCATCTAATTACGAGCCAAACAGTAACAACATGAGCCAAAATAAAAGCCAAAATAAGAAATGAGGAGGAGAAGGAGTAAAAATGGAAGGGGAGCTTAGTTACCAGGCAAAATTGTGCGCCAGTCATCCTTGTATTCTTCTCCTTGTCACTAAAGAGGGCTAGGAAATCTTGCCAGGTGTTGCAGATCTTTTCAAGGCTACCTTGCTTAACATAGTCCACCCCTTTCTTTTTTCCACATAGTTTTAATAACAAACACTAAACCTGTTGTGACTTATAAATGAGTGGAATACAGGTTATAGCAGAGTAATTGACTGCAGAATACAAAATAATAGAGCCTTCAACAATACATAAGTGCAGAAAGTTCAAGTGGTGATCTCCAGTAAACTTATTTCAAGCATGTCACTATTTTCAGCATTGGAGGGCATGTTTCTTGGTCGCACTACTAGGGTGTGACTGGATGTTGGTAACTGGCTATTATATGTGCATATACGAATCATTCTATTATGTTTATCAGATTTTTTGTTGCTGTTGCAAACTCTGTTCTATTCGTATGTATTTAATCTTTGCTCCTCTTTCTCCTAGGTTCCAACTATGCGAGTCCCCGTCCAGCTCATGCCAACATGAATGCCAATGCAGCTGCAGGGCTTGCACCTGAGCATATCGCTACTCCAGGTGCAGCCCTTTCCTGGCAGGCTGCTATCGATGCTGCCAGGCAGGCCAAATTGATGGGTGCAGCCGGCAATGCAACAATATCCACCGCCAGCTCCACACAGAGGAAACGGCAGCAGTATGGGAAACAGAAAAAACAGGGTACCACCACAGCTACACGTCCTCCCCGGGCACTGCTGTGTCTAACACTGAAAAATCCCATCCGGAGGGCATGCATCAGTATTGTTGAATGGAAATATCCTTTTTGATGGAGTGATATGAGTCAGTATGCAAATGTGATTTACAAATGTGACTAAGCATGTGCATTAGGTTGAAGGGAGCACTAGAAGGAACTATATGAGCAACAACATATGGTTGGTCTCCATCTAGATCAGCGGGGGTAGATCTTTTGTGACCTTGGTCAATCTTCTGGGGGTTGCATGCCGGTGGTGGGTGTGACCCAAAGTGACTGTGACCATCTCACCTAAACATTTGTGCATGCACACACGCACACAAACGGCACACAAGCCCTTCCTCTTCAGCTTATTTCTGCAGATAAGCTGAGTAAGGGGTGAATCACCTCCTCCATCCTCATCAAACGACCATTTTGATGAGGAAGGAATGGCCAATTTACACCCCCCACCAGGGGTATGGACAGAGGGGTTTAAACCCCAGTGGTGTGCCCACTTAGTTTTTTGCCAGGGCCCAAATTGGTGGGGTTTTGATGGGGGGAGATGCATCGGGACCTAGGCCTAGACTCTTAAAGCATAAGGACTCCTACTTGTGGCAACATGAAATTGCTGCAGAATGCAGGAGCATTCATGGGCCATCCTATGCACAAAATGGATGGTTTTTGGCTGCTGTGTAAATTACGTTGATGGATACCAATAGAGCCATTGTCTATAATCTTTCAACAATTAAATATTCTAGACCTGAAAAATAAACCCAATTTCAAATGACCAAATGACCAAGTATTCAAGAACCCAAGCCAGAAAATCCAGATTTTCTGATGTAGCCATGGTTTTACCTTGACCTATATTGTTCAGTTGTGCAACTTTTATTTGGCAAAGTCCACGTGGAATAGGCTGATAGTAATAGGAGGGTGTAGGTTGCAGTCTGAAGCACATTCACTTGGGAGTGGGGTCCATTACAAGTAGAAGTATTTAAGGTTATTACACTAAAACACCATCTTGCAACTGCAACAAAAGGATTATTGTTAAGTGCCAATCTGGCTACTATTACAGCTGATCTGGTAGCAGGACCTGATGGCATTGATGCTAAATATTTGGTGATGGTGGTTTTTTTTAAAAAATGCTTGGTCTATGAATCTTGGAATGCATGTTGGAGAAAGTGCCCTGCCCTTCTCTCCTCCCTCCCTTCTCTTGCATGCTGGCATTGGCACTTCATTTGTGGCTTGTGTTAAGACAGACATTTTCATTACATGCAAACTGGGAAACTCTAGTTTGATATCAGATAATAAGCCAGGATGTAATCCACTTTGGACATAACAAGTCAGGAATAAAATGCCAAAGCTGGCACACAAAGCTGGGCTTAAACACACAGATTCTGGCATTGTTCTATCTAATTTGGGCCTGAGATTAAATCTCTGGTGCACAGACTGTTCACAATGAAACTTGGAGGAGCAAACAGAAAGATGGATTTAAAAAACCCAAAGTACCATAATCTTAATAAAAATATTATCAAAGTACCATAATCTTATTAGATGCTGTGAAATCAACTTTTGCTTTCAGGATTTTGGGTGGAGATAAAAATGGGTCAAGAAAGGGTTCACAGATATTCTCCATCAACTCATTTCCCCCCCGTTTTTCAGGTGATAGTTTTTTAATCCTCTCAAGCAGTTTTATTTGTTATCCTTCCCAACGTGGACACTCAAAACCATGACGGATAGCTAATTTGGGATGGGTAGTGGGATGGTGGCGGCAAACCTATATTGGTTACTTGCTTGGCACCTTGCCAACCATACATCTTTAGGCAGAGCCCACAAGGGGAGGCCTGATATAAAGTATGAAATCAGAGCTGGTTGAACAGATTGATGTGTTGTAAAGTAGGAGGCTGAAAATGACTGAGCAATGTAGTCATCTCTTGAGAGATAATGGTCTTACTGAAAACACATAACAAATAAACAGTTGAAATCCTCTCAATGACTCACCTCAAATACAGTGGTGCCCCGCAAGACGAATGCCTCGCAAGACAAAAAAACCCGCTAGACGAAAGGGTTTTCCGTTTTTGAGTTGCTTCGCAAGACGATTTTCCCTATGGGCTTGCTTCGCAAGACGAAAACGTCTTGCTAGTCTTGCGATTTTTTTCGCTCCCCCCCTTTTTCTAAGCCGCTATGCCGCTAATAGCCTTTTAGCCGCTAAGCCTTTAATAGCTGCTAAGCCGCTAAACCGCTAATAGCGCTAAGCCGCTAAGCCACTAATAGGGTTGCTTCGCAAGACGAAAAAACCACTAGACGAAGAGACTCGCGGAACGGATTATTTTCGTCTTGCGAGGCACCACTGTACCAGATTCCTGAGCAGAGCACATACTTATGGCCACTATGGACTTGTTGCTGAAAAACAGTATCTCTTTGGTGAGTCCACCAACTCCACCCTACTGTAATTTATATAACAACATATTGGCCTAGTTTGTAAATAATGCTAAGCCATAGTTAATGCTAACCATAGTTAACACATGATAATGGAAGCTAGTGTGTCTGGCAGACCATAATGTGAACCTTGGCTTGTTGCATTCTTGTCCTCCCCCTGTTAAAGGAAACACAAGCCAGGAATTGCTGTTCTCCACTTGCAGCTCTGTAGCTTTCGGGCTGTGGCAGCTCTTTAACCATAATTAAGCATAAGGTCTGGACTTGCACATAAAGTTAAGCAATAGTTAATATTAGCTAAGGTTTATAAACGAACTACAAACCTTGGTTAATGAGCAGTCTATAACCATAGTTAATAACCGATGGTTTAGTTTTATGTTCAAACAGGGCTATTCTAATGTTCTTAATGTGTCTTAATAATTCAAAACATTGGTAAGCAACATAGTTTGTGCTAAGGTGCACCTTTTTTGGGGGAAGGGATAACATTTAATGTACAAAACTGGGACTCTTCTGCAGACTAATACATTTTCTACTGAAAGAAGAGATGACAGGGGGAAACATGTTGCTATAATCATTTCGCATACTGAAAATACAGTTTCAGCCTATTTCTGTTGCACACCCAAGAGGATGTGAATGCAAGAAAAGCCCTGCTGGATCAGAACAAAAGGCCCATGAGGTTCCCACATTAGCCAACCAGGTGCTTTTGGGAAGCCCGCAAGCAGGACAATGAGGGACAACAGCTCTCTCCAGCTGTTATTGCCCTATATACCAAGTCCTGGTATAAAACTAATGTGAAACTGCACTAAAAAGCTCCATTAAATAGAGCTTAATATATCTTAATTAATGGTTTTCAAGCCAGGTCATAATGAAACATTTCAGCTGTGCATAACAAATTCTCCTACCTCTGACCATTCACTCTCTTACCTTCCATAATTTGTACTAAAAGGAAACCTACAAAACTTTAAAAGTTGTGCATATGAGAAATTAAAAGTGCATCAACCACATTATTATTATTATTATTATTATTATTATTATTATTATTATTTTATTTGAATTGATCAGAGATTATGAACTCTTGTGTCTTTACAATAGCTTATACAGGTCAATGTAAAATTGTAAACAGGGCATTAGCTGTCAGAAACAACGAGGACAAAATGTGCATCTGTAACCAGATGCTAATTGCTTTCTCTATAGTTGAGAATGACCTACTTTTCAATATTTCAGTCTGATCATGAACTATCCAGCACAAATTAAAACTTGCATCGTCATATGCAAGGAGGGGTCTATTTTTTGTTTCTTATTCTCTGTGGCCAGCAAGGCAACAATAGCCTTGGCTGACCAATAGAGTCCCTTTCTAAGGCTTAATCCATATAGGTAAACGATGCCATAAAAACACAACAACATGGGGTCAGCTACACATGGAAAGCCTCCATATGCAATGACACTAATTCCCCTCGCAGAGGTGGATGAAGGGGGGTGCGGTGGGTGCAGGTCTCCCTGGGTGTCACCACTGTCCTGCAAAAACCTTACCTTCTACTGACACATAGCATTCTTAGGAAAAGTTTTTGCAAATTGGTTGTCTTCATGTGGTTCCTTTATTTGCCCAATAGAATAATCACAGGGAACAACTTAGGAAGAAATGAGAGTACAGTCCTATTGGACCTCTGTGCTGTCCATCAGCTCAGCAAGAGTGTGGGTGTACTGATATTGATATTAGGGGGAACCAATAATAAATGAGGTTTCAGTCATTTTTTGCCCAACCCAAATAAGGTGAAAAACTGATGATGGGGAATTCACTTTGAGAACAGTTAAGTGGTGAAATGTATTCTGAACAAATACATGCATTTTCAAATAGACACCACTGTTTGGCATATTTCTGGTATGAAAGTATGCAAAATAAGCCACAACTTATTTTAATAATGCCCTTTAACAACCTTGTGTTATACACCCCCCCCCACACCCTCAGAGATTAGAATGAAGAGACGCTGAATGTTAAAAATAATGTTAAAAATAAACTCTTACATAACTTTTAAACCCCTTGTGCTTCTTTGAATACTGCTCTCTTAAATTTCTTTTCAAAAGTTGGCAAAAGAGGGTTGAAAAATGCTGAACCATTGTGTATTAAGATTTGGGAGATATTTTCTTAAATGACAGCAATAATAGGCAGTTTGCAACTGTATTGCAAATGCAATAAGAAAGAGAGAGAATTTGGTGGGCTGTCTGTCAAATAACAGCACAGCCTGAGAGGGTAAAATAAACTTGAAATTAAATCTAAATAAAGAAAAAAAACTTTTAAGAAATCTATGTTTACTCTGGCACGCGACTGGCCTACCGTGCTTTTGACATATTAGGAAGAAACTTGGCTGGGAGGGTTGAAAAGCACTTTAAAAGGCATATGTTTCTTTTCAAAATACAAGGGATTAGGAATGTCTTTATTAAACAGAATTCTTTGAAATCCTTCCCCCTCTTCCAATATAATGTATGCATGTATATATATATATATATTAAAAAAATCAACCTTCCTTAACTCCATTCCTCAGACCATTTGAAATTATTATTTTACTGACTATTTTTGCCAATTGTGTGGCCTTAGCTATCTATATCCCCTTTCCAGAAGATGATTCCAATGCTACTAATTCCAATCTGGTAAGTCCTTTACTTTCACCATTATTTGTTGCTACACCTTTTACTACTTACTTATAGGTAGGTTGTTTGAAACTCAGCACAGTGGCTTTTGGGAAGTCCGGAGAAAAAAATCACATGGTCACATCAGATGGCAGCCAAGATGTTTGGATTACATGGCTTTAGGCTGGCACTTGTTTTATCAGGATTACTTTTAGGGGGGGAAACGTGGGCATTATCAGCACTGCATATGGATATCAGTTTCATACCTCTTCCCCCAAAGAATCATGGGAACTGCAGATTGGTGGAATGTTGAACATTCTGCTAGAACAAAGATAGCCAATGTCGTGCCCTCCAGATGCTCTTGGACTGCAGCTCCTATCATCCCCATATGGCATGGCCAAGGGTCAGGAATGATGAGAGGACACCTCACTGACTACCCAGTGCTAGAAAATCCCATCCCCACTCCCTCCAGTTACAATTCCCAGACTTTCCCCGATAAGAAGGAATGGTAGTTAAACTGGTTGAAGTCTGTAGTGCAGATAATGCCTTGAGTTTTTTGAATTTATGGTTATGACTTTTTGCTGTTGGCTTTTTTTTCCTTTTGTTAACAAAATGCCAGAGTATATTGTGAAAGTGCTATCTATCTATCTATCTATCTATCTATCTATCTATCATCTATCTATCTATCATCTATCTATCTATCTATCTATCATCTATCTTAGTAGGTGTTAATTGTTTCATTCCTGAGCTTCTTCTGCTGTGTCTGTTTTATGAAGGGATATTATTTAATTGATCAAGCCTTCCTTTCGGGTGATGAACAGTTTCAGGGCTATGTTCTAGGGCACCTTGGCAGGTGTTCTCATTATAAATTTGCCCTTTGAAATATGGTGACTTTTTTCTATTCTTGCCTGGAATGATTAGTGTTTCTACTAAACGCAAATGGCAATGCCTGTGTTTCAGCATAAGCTTGTCTGGTGCTGGGGTGTGGGGCAGGGGGGAGAAAGGGAAATGTGTTTATATTTGGCTTAGCATGAAGTCATAGCAAATATATGAAAGAAACAAAACTTAGAGTTGGACAAATGGAATGCAATCCATAACAACAGGACAAGCTATTTCCCCTGTTCTTTCCTGGGAGGTTGACTGAGCTCAGAACTCCTAGAGCTGTGAATGGGAAAGCCTGAAAGCCTGAGTCTGCATTCATTCCAGTATTCAGAACTAACCAATGGAGTTTTTTGAAAGACCAGAATGTGGCTATTCTTTTACTTGCCCCCAAAGAAGAATCACTGGCATGAAAGGGGGGTAGGTGGAATGAAAACTTGCAGAGGGATGGGGCTGGAAAAATAATAATTGCCTTTCCAAAACAGAGACAGATGAGCATGTATAACCATTCTTCAGGCCTTGGCCACCATGATGAAGTATTTTCATGAAGCAGCTTTGAGTGTGTGGAAGGAAAAACAAAGGCTTTGGAATGCATCTTTGGGGGAATTATTGCCTAGCAAGCTGTAAGCTTTTCTTTGTTGCTTTGCAGTTTGATAGAGAGAAAACTGGGGCTGGTTTGGAATCCTTTTTAAAGATTTTAAGGGTTTTACCATCAGGTGAAGCACGTGCAGGAAAGATGTTAGTGAACTGGTGCATCTGACATGTTGCTGTTTTCCACCTACAAAAGTGAAAGGCTGGAACTGAGGTATAGGCTGTTTAGAAGTGATGTTGGTGTAGATATTTGCTCCTGACCATAAACCCAGTATTAAACACACACATACAGCTCACAGTGTTATAGAAATGGGATTCCTCCAGGCAAGTACTAAAGAAAAGCAATAATCTGTTGCATGTGTGCATGACTTTTGTGAATTTTGATTTCTATACCTATATTTAGGTTGGATATGCAGATAATGCATAACTGCATAACTGCATGTACCTAGACTGCATATGCAGATAGCTGTTAGCAACACATTTTTACGCTGATGGGTTTGTCATGGGCAATAGTTTATCTCACTAAAAGTTGGTAGTTGTGGGTAATTTAATGTACATGGTGCTATTTAGAGTATAATAAGCAAAAACACAAGTGCCTGCCCCAAGAAGCTTACAGTGTAATTTCAACAAAGACAACAGAGGGAGAAAAAGCAGACTGAGTTAAATGTAACACGGGAACATGCCTTTTGCCAGGCAGTAATGCATTTGATACTGACTTAAATTTCCAAGGGATTAAAATATTTTTCCAGCCCTGACAAATGGTCTGACTGTCTGTCTGTCTGTCTGGGTGGAATTGCATTGACTTATTCATTCTTAAGATTTGTACACTTGTCAAAGTTTTGTGGCATCCATCCTGTTGTAATTTAGCCTTGCCCTCAGATCTGTTGCCTTGTTATAGCAGAGAGAGGCTGCAGTTGCTTTCTACTAGAGCTCTAGTTAGCTGAGTATCAAAGTGATTAGTTTGTTTTTGGAAAACATTGGATGAGACGGTGGGTTGAGATAGAAAAGGCTGCTTCAGAAAACAGCACATCCTGCAGAGATGGAAATCGGATTCACTTAGAAAAGAGAGCCATTTTATTGGAGAAAATTGCCTCCAGCCATTACGAAATGCAGCAAGTTGTGCTTGCTACAACAACCAAGGGGCAAAATAGTATGGCTCCAATCCAGATCTGTAGATTTATGCATGTAAGGGGACTTTTTCATTTCTCTTCTAAACAGCAGCAACCCTGTTTTGTGTCTCACAGTATCACAAGTCCTTTTTAAGGGTTTGCTTGCAGTACAGGACAGAAAAGAATGGGGAAAACCTGCTGTGCACTGGTAAGCCAAACAGCAACTAGCTTAGCATGTTATCTGAACCCCGACTCATGATTAAGTTCTCTTCTTACTTACCACAAGCCAAGGTTTTTCTTGGCAGTCAGAGATGAGTTCAGGATCACAGACAAACCACAGTTAAGCAAAACAAACTATGCCTTCATGTTGCATGCAAAACAGGCCTATGACACTAACAGAGCTACCACTGCATCAGAATCACAATGCAGTTTTTAAAAAATCAGATTTTTAAAGTTTGAGTGCTCCCGCATTTCTACCCAAAGAACAATCTTTCCAGATGAAGAAGTTTCTTGTGCAGTTCACTTCCCTGCTTTTGAAAGCAATGCTATTAAATTTGTAAAGCTCCTCAGCAAGGCATTCTTCCCCTATCATCTACAATCCTTTACTGTGGGTCATTTGGTATAGCTCTGAGAGAGTCTTGTAGAAGGACTCAGAACCATCCCCTGTTTGAAGATGCTCTTTAGCTAAGTCCTAATTAGCATGAATCATTTCTTGTCTTGATATCTTCTATAGCCAATTGGGTGGGTGGTGGGTGGTGGGTTGTTGGGGTTTTTTTGAGAAGAGGGAGAGGAAGGTGGAGTTGGTCCAGTTCTGGAAAACCAGATTTGTCCAGCTGCTCAGGGGAAGCCTTCACTTGGGTAACAATAACAAGTCTGGCTTCACATTCACTTTGTAATTTAATTCTGAAAGGAGGAAAAAGGAGTTGCCATAGCAACTTCTACCGTCCTGATTTCCAGAGACATGGAGAACCTTCTTCAAGAAGCGCATTATCCAATATATGATGTGTAATGCTTTTTTTCTTTTCTTTTAAGGTTTCAAGGAGAAAAATATGTGTTTATAAGCTGATAACATGCCTCTTGGATTCTGAAACTCAGCCAGCAGAATGTGGAATAAAAAATTGTGCAGGATTTTAAAATAATGAGAGCCACTGTAGGGTAATATTGCAGAGCCAGTGTGGTACAGCAAGGGTACAGACTTAGAACTCGGGAGACATGGGTTTAATCCTCTGTTTAGCTATAGCCTATGGCTAGTCACTATCTCTTAGCCTTCAACCAAAAAGATCAAGGGGCTGAAGCAAAATGGTACCTGCTGGTTATTGCTAAGAATTTATTTGCACAGAAAAGCTGCTGTTAAAATGAGTCAGATCTTTGGTCCATGTAGCTCAGTACCCTGGCAAGAAGCAGCTCTCCTGAATTTCTGAAAGGGATATTTCCCCAACATTACTGCAGATCCTGAGGATTGAATCTGGCCTGAAGATGCATTCCATGTGCTCAGCCAAAACATTTCCCCTAGTACTAACTTGGAAATCAAGAATTGTTTATCCATTGCCTCAATTTCAGCTGTGTTTCTTAAAACACTTACAGGAGTCTCAGTGCCATAAGTGAAATTACTCTGAAGCAACTTATTTATGGCTTATGGCCTTTGATGGCAATCATGCTGTCCTGCGAGGTTATCCATTAACTTCAGTAAGGGCAAGGTCAATCCCTTCTTGTCCTTTTGTAACAGAAATTTGAAAGCAGCCGTTTCTGTCGTCTTTATATCTGTTTCATCCCCACTAAAAACCTATTATGCACACAAATGGAAGGGGATTTTATTAAACGCAGAGCCATTTTGGAACTAATGAACTCCACTGAGGCTTTGGCAAAATTGCAGAAATGAAGAAAGCTTGCACACATGTGTGTGACCTTGTGCAAAGAACAGTGATGCACATTCTCTTGATGTAGCTGGGAAAATTGGAGCTAGTTTGAAGGGAATTGAAGCCAGCCTTGCAAGAGAGGGCCATAATTGGTATGGAGTCTTTCTACTTGTTTTCCCTGCAATTATGTGTTAAAAACAGAGATAATGTGCCTCCACAATAATGGAACTATAGCAGCCTAAGATAGGAAGTTGAGAGGGAAATGCTTCTGTCTCGTCTGAGTGACATTCACAAAATGGCTTGAGCCTGGTCAGTGTCACACCATGTTGATAACATAATGAGGTTAGGACACATCTTGAAGCATACTGTTAGGTTGATTGTTTATGCCTTTTGAGGCAGGAGGGAAATTCCTACTGCTGTTTGAATAGCTCGACCTTCCTTTCCTTGCCGTAGCAATAGCAGAAAAACCATCTGTTTGCAAAACTTGAATTTAAAATGTCATATTCTGCATTCACATTTGTACATCTTTACAGGTGGATGAGAGTTACTTCTTTTCATTCATTCTCTGAAAATTGAACTGTGCTTTCTGAAGCAAGGAAGATGGAATTGTTATGTCTCTGTGAAAGACTGTGCTTACTTGCTTCCCATCTCTGGATGCCTATGAGAGAGAGAGCATAACTGTCTGTCTGGCTTGGTAACTAGTGGTTAGTTTTGTGGCCAGCTGAAAAGGTGCCTGGTCCACATTGGCAACGAAGGAGTGGATTTTGGTGTTACATTAGTGCTGTAGATTAATATAAAGCAAAATCTATGAACTGGCAAAGACATGGCATTTAATTCAGAATTTATAACAAACATGATTACATTACATCTTACTCAGCATTTTCATCATCTTAACTCCCCCCCCCCGCCCTATTCTTTTGCAGACTGCTTTATCTATGTTACAAGCCAAACATAGATGTAGAAGATTTAATGGTGATGAGTTATTCAGAGGGACTTTAGTGGCTCTTTTAATGTAGTCTCAAAGCCTAAATAATTATAGTAAACCAACAGTTATGCCACATGCATATATTAGCAAGGACTGAGGAATTGGTTCAGCAAAGTGAATATCTTAGCCATTGGCCACTTGGGAACAGAAAGGTTGTTTTAAATATATATTATAATAAATATACCCTGAGAGGGTCTGGGAAAGAACTAGGCACTGTGAACTTCTGGAAATTGATCTGGTCCTGCAGTCTTGGGATATATATGCATTGCCTTAATTTCACATGATCTGGCACTCTTGATAAGCATGACAGAGCACTGCCCTCCATCTTGTGACTGGTCCTGGTTTGCTTTCTCTCTTCTGGGTGTTGTCTGCTGTTATTGATTAAAACAGCAAGAACAATACAGTGCAATTTTTAAAACATAATTCTGTCAAAGGCTGCGACTGTGGAAGCTTTTATTATCCTTCATCTCTTTCCCACATGCTCCTCCTCACTGGTAAAATCAAGACACATTCCCAGAAAGTAAAGAGCATGAGATTTAAAATAAAAAATAAAAACTGGTGGTGAGATATTCCAGAAAGGTACAAATGGAAAACATACTTGCATGTAAAGACAACATAATCCATAATAGTGTTTGTCCTGTCATTACCTTTCAGGATGGAAAGGTAAGGATGGGACAACCAGCTTGTGGGTTATCCTATCCTCATATCCACATAAGTTTTCCATACTTGAGCAATTGAAAGGCTTAGTGTTATGTGAATGTCTATCACCATATGCTCAAAAAATGGCATTTGATGGTGCATATAAAGCCAATCCAGAAATTAACAGGAGTAGAAGCAAGTAGATACAAAAGTGACATTGCATTCTTGACCTCAGAGCTTCTTTCTGTGTTGAAGTATAGAGTAAGAATGTTCCACTAGTAGGCAACTTCTTTTCTGCCCAGCCTTGACTTGAGAATCTGAATGATGCTATAAGGGGACATCTAGCAACCAAGATATCTAGTGTATTCTTAGGACCAACTCTACATTTGTAAGTTGTTTCATATTGCTTTTCACATTTTATTTTAAATTGTTGTATCTATGTTTCTAGAATTTTAATTTATGTACATGTACATGCTGAGGCTATCCAACTTTGGACTCTGATGCGTTACAACCTGACCCCACACAGCAGGTATACAACTCAAATGTGGTATCTGGGTCACTTCTTGTGGCTGCTGAACTTAATGCTTCTGATTGTAGCTTTCTGTTCCCTCCAACTGCGATGTCAACACCTTTTGCCACATGGACTATATTTGGCATTTGCAAGGTCCAGATGCCTGATTCCTACTGTGTGCGTTTTCCAACTACAGCATTTCTGTGATTCCCCAGTTAGTTGTGTTGGCACCTCTGCAGCTGCTTTTTGATCTGCCTTGTTAAACTTGCACTGATGGAAAACGTTGGGATTTTGGAAGATTTCCTGCCTGGCTGCCACTAGCTCAGTGGCTGCAAGGCTTGCATGCAGGAGGGTGGAGGGAGCTGAAGTGGAGACCATCTGTGTGTGATAGTCTTTATCTGATGTGCCAAAATTGCAATCCTGCTTTTTTTTAACTGTTACTTTGCCTAATGAAAGCTTGGCGGGTTTGTAGTTACAGCACTTTCAGACCTGATACAATGAGAGGTGCATTTCAACTTAGCTTTTGTAGTCACATTATAAGATCTTAAGTCATTTTATTTATAGGATTAAATATTACATGTTGGATTTTTCAGCTGCTATGATAATAAGCAATAAGTCATTGCAATTTATTGGGAATGAATCATGTTGTGCAAAACGACTTGTAAAAGGTGCAACATTTTCTTTTATGCACCATTTGTTACTTGACACCATTCTGCCCCCAATTACCTTTATGTTATATTTTATTTTTCTTATATGTTCTTTGTCTTTTCCTATTTCTGTCTTTGTACATTTCAGCCTGCAGACACATTGGTCTGTACCCTGCATGTTTGCAGGGCACAGATAGTCTCTGCCCATGCAATGTGGGGTATAGTATACTGTGGACAGGCATACTAGACAATGTATAGGCTTTGTGCACAAGATGCAATCAATGCATAGTGTTTGAATAAGCACAATACATAATTGTGGTATTCTCCACAAGACCACAACCCTCAGGATGTTCTCAGCCCTCTCCTACACCAGTGCGCAGGGCTTGGACCCAACTCACAGTGCTGGCCCACCCATGAGGCAAGATGAGGTGACCACCTGAGGCACTAGGTTCCACAGGGGCAGCAGATCCTGCCTCCAAGGAATGCATCATCCATTGCTACCATGGTGGGGGCTGCCCTCTGCATCGTGGGCTCTGCATCCACCTGGCATGATTCAGAGCAGCCTGGTTTTACCCCTGCGACGACCTTTGATTTACACTTCAACTGTCTAATGAGGTTCATTTGATTCCCCCTCCCTTGTTCCTGATTTGGACCTTTATTCCTCCCTTGTTCCTGATGTAGAACTTCACTCACCCCTTCTTTCCCAGCAGGGAGAGGGGCATTTTGTGGTTCGCCTCAGGTGCTAAAATGTTTTGGGTCACCCCTGGCAAACTCATCATCAAGGAGCACAGCCTTTTCTTCCCTCCTCAGTCTTACAAACAGATTAACCATTATCTGAACCACCTTTTGAGATTTCTTTCTACTTTCCTTCATCTTTTTTTCTTCTCTCTTCCACTGTTGCTTATAAAGCAGAAACACGCTTGCTTTTGTACATCTGAGCATGATGTCATAGCAGCCGGCATGGGCATGGAGGCAAATTGCCTCAGTGTCCCTTCCAGCCTCATCACAATAATATATATATATATATATATATATATATATATATATATGCAGGTTTTGGTGTCCTCGGGTGTCTTCCCGTGTAAAAGTTGGGGTGTCTAGGCGACGTTTCGACGAGGTCTCACTCGTCATCTTCAGGCTGGTGCTTTCGGCTTCTTGTTACTGGAACAGAGCAGGATCTCAGTGTTTGAGTTCCTATAAATACTGTTGAGGGGGTGTGGTGTATAGCCTCCAATGTTCTGGGCAGAGAGGAAGTTCCCAGGCTAGTGTGCCTTTTCTTCTTTTGTTCCTTAATTACTTGAGGGATATCTTGAGTGATTTCTTGAGTGATATCCTGAGTACCACTTAGGTGGGTCATTAGGTGTGGATTAGTTGCTAAAGCCTTCGTGTCTTGACTTCTTGAACTTTGTGAAGAGTTTTTCTGAGAAGATGGCTGTACTGCACTTAGTTGTGCTCTGGCTTGGCTTCGTGTATAGGGGCGAGCTGTGGTTTTGTGT